TGTGCTAATTTCAACGGTTAGGCATATTACCTACTATTTACGAGCATTATTATTACTAACCGTCACGTCGTTTTGGCTTTAAAATTAACGTTATAATATTTTATATTCAAAATATATACTATTGTAAAAATTAAACAGTCATGTTTCAGTCATCAACACTCAGTGTGTTATGCAAAAAACTCCATGATTATCTGATGATTAAAGTTTTTAAAGGGTTATTCATCGAATCCGCTAATAGTCAATACCTATTATGGTCAATATAACAATATTGTAATACCATTTATTTAAAAATAAATATGATTCATAATCATTAATCATTAGGTAAAAAAAGTTATCATATTATACAATTTAATTTAATTTTAAATTATAAATTATGATATAGGAACATGATATTTTACTGAGTACGAATATATAGTTCTATTCAAAACCCTATGCCCCTGTTTTATTAATTTTCTTAAAAWTTTTTTTTTATTATTATTAATATAATAATTTACCCTTGGCGATTATAACAAATTTATTATTTATACAGTGTTTATATTTTATTTTGCAGTTTTGCCTCTGTGATAAACTTGAAGATGATTGAGCGCGATGAATTGTTGAGGTCGAGTGATTTTGACAAGTGTTTACGAAGATTTAAGGCCAATCTTGGTTCGGAGTATAATCGACAATCGGTCATTATGTGTTTAATTGTCTTAGATCGGTGCTGCATGTTGGACATGTTGGGGGATAATTTTTACTCATTAGATGGCTATAAGTGATTTGTCATTTGTATGTGTCCGATTCGTAGTATAATAAAATTAGGCTAACTTCGAACTTTCTAGGAAGGTATGTGGGATGTGGCCATACGAACACATCTTGTTTTATTTTGTTGAGTTTTGTGCGCACGGAATTCGAGTTTGCCTGCCACATATTGGTACAATGCAATTTTATTATGGGTTTTAAATATTGTTCGGTTACAAGTTGAACTGCTGTTGCTACAGGGTTAATAATTGTATTTTTTGCTACTTGATCGGACATCTCATTTTCGATGATACCCGAATGTCCAGGTATCCTACAAAGTTCTTAAGCATTTTTTTTGTATATTAATTATTAACAATCTCATATAAAGGCAGCKCATCTGCTGATATTATCCCTTTTTAGTTTTTTATATTTTCCAGCTTTCTTGAGACCAAACGAGGTATTTGTCACATAATATCGAATATCTTTACATTATATTTAATTTTTCTTACCAGAATAAATTACTGGTAATTCTACCTATTTTATATTTTAATTTAATTTAAATGCATAATAATAATGATCATTCTAATAAAATGGCATAATTAATAATAATATTTTAATATATAATTTAATATATTATTTKAAAATGAAAAACATAATGATACCTTTACGATGCCTTTCATGTTTATTGTACATAAATTATTATTTATATTTTAAAATTAGGAAATATGCCTAAATGCCTACCGTATCTAAATCCGACATGGTATAATATATGAGAAAATATACCTGACTTATACTATTGAATTTATATACCTATAATCTAACAATATGATAAGTTACCTAATTATATGACCTACATGTTGTGTTTAGTGTCGAAATCRCCTAATCACATTAATTTTATTATTATATTGATTAAATAGTATTACACTTATTTTATGTGAATTATGAGTAGGTATCAGCGTATTTTCTATATATTATAAGTATTATTAGTATTATATTTTAAGTATGTTTATCCTGTAGACTCAGTTCATTCTGTCATCTGTGTGATATATAATATACAATACAATATATTTATTTCGTTTACCCACGATAGATAACATTTTATCAATATACCTATAGGTACTCAAACTTCATTATCAGTAAATACTCAATGTATATTTTCATTCTTCTTTAGGAATAAATATGTTTGAAAAATTTCAGAACGACAAAATTTAATAAAAAAAGGTAGGTTACCTACCAACCTAYTTATCTTACCTAACCTACTAACCTACTAATCTCTATATTAAAATATATTATGTTTACTGTTTAGTCAAGCAAGATAAACTTTTTTTAAACACAAAAAACAAAAATGAAGTTTTTGACAGTTGTCTCTTTAATTTCAAACGAAATGAAAAAGCTTAATTCAACTAGATAAAAACAAAAAAACATCGATGCACCCAGATTTATTGAAGGTTAGAATATATTGACATTTAGTAAGTAATATTTATAGTTATACGAGATTGAGAAACTTGGGAAAAAACAAATCAACTCARTGGATTATATTTTACACTTCGAGAGAGAGAGYGCTTATGAAAAGCACGGGCATGATAGCCTGTTCGTAATATGATAATGTTCAGTAAAAAAACTTTTCATTCTAATTTTCAAATTGTACAAGGCTATATCAATTGCAACGATTAAAGATTTTTTTTTATTTTCGTCCCTTGAATTATTATAAACGTGGTTCAAAAACTTAATATAAAATAAAACCTTACTTACACTTAAACCAAAAAATAATTTTTWATATGCTTACGYCGTTTCATGATCATCAACAATTTGAATATTTTTCCAGTATTGAAAGGATATAAGAAATATTAAGCAAACTATTAAAGTATTAGAATCGTGAAGAATTAAACGTTTTTCACGGAATAGGTTATTGATAATATATGCATACAAGTGTATAAAAAAGATCCTCTTATGTTTACTATACCTGATTTATATTACTCCCTTTAATGGTAATTTACGACAAAAATCCAACAACTCAGCCAATGGCCAAATGCATTAAAACTTGATGTTCTTTATAGAATCTAGTAGTCCCGAGACCCCTAAAAACACGAATTTATAAATATAAAAATACAGGCAGYTAMAGTAATTTGTTGTTTCGTGAAGTTTGATTAAAAAAAAAAAATAGCCTYATACTTTATTCATATTTTACGATGTACWCGAAYCTATGTCGTGTGAAAGTGTGTACGTGTTTCGAAAATCATTCTCTTATATCGTATCTCTATTTTCCGACAAAATTAATTAAACTTTGAACCTWTTGTGTTATTACTTATAGTTAAATAAATTATTTTARTGGCAAAATAAATATTTCATAAAATATAGCTACTCATAGTAATAATAAATAGGCTTACAGACCATCTTCGTCCTTTGCTCATAAATCGTTTTTTGTTTGCAATGATTTATTATTGAATTCAAATTTAACATATAGGTACTTACTACATWACTCTATGATGAGGTACACAGCTAGACTGAAACCTATTATCTAACTCCATTTTTATAAAAACGTTATTAAGTTACATATTAAATATCTAAACAAAAATATTTGTGCTTATATAGATTTTATATTACAATTCATAACTTATGATTGTCAAAATTATACACAAACAGCACGATTGGCATCTATAACTATTATTAGTGTGTAATACTGTGTATATAATATAATATTTCACAGCCTAATTTAAACTGTAGACGATTTTCTTGTGAAATGGATATTCATTATTGAAAGCTATACATACCAAAGTTATTTTTTTTCTAATAAAACTAAAGGAAGTCGTTAATTTGTCGGAGATACATCAATAGAACCAAATTTTAAATATTCAATTGAATATTTTCTAAATTTTTTCTTAAATATTTTATAATTACTTACTAAATAATAAATATAATTAATAATAGTTATTATTATCAATAAGTAYGAATTTTTTTTGTTGAGTGACCGCAATACTGATTTTTTTGAGGTGACTGAAACTAGTGAACAATGGTTAAAAATGGTAAAAAAAAAGTGATAGTGTCTAGATTTAGAATCTCTGCATTAGGTTCGGGTTACTTGATGAGTTTTTTTTGCAGATCTTGGTTGCGGCGATTCTGCACGTGGCAGTGTTAAGTAGCATTATACAAATTGGATGACAAATTTATTACATGGTTAATTTTATTTTTTTGTGAACGCAAATATAGTATGTAGCGTATGTGATATAACATTCAAGTATCACAAGTTCACTTAGGTATTAAAGTGTAGATACTTTTTTTTGTACCAAAAAAAATCTTCGGCCGGGTGGAAACTGTTTAGCACAATACTAAATACCTATATAATATATATAAATAAAATATAAATATATTAACTATACTTATAATTTATAATTATAACTTATAAGTACCTTATATTATATTCATAATATTATGGTCACATATTTTTACGCGAAGAAAAAGTTCAGTTTGCAAACTTACTTAGCGGTGGTGTACTTGAAAATAGCCTATATTACTATTAATATTATTTCTATCATTTATTATATAACGAAGTTAGTATTATTTGTTTATCGTGTTATAAATTATTGTTTTCTCTATATTTAATAAATATAAGTGTTTACACGATTTACGATCTAGGTGTGCTGTTGAAATAAATGCAGTCAATTAACATTTTGTGTCTCATATTAACTATATATTCATCTACAGTACCTATATGTATATGAATATTTTATTGTAAATTTGTACGGCCATAACCAATAATACATATACACTGTATATTATACAGGTTAGCCAGAAAGAGCGATTATTCTATAATCTATATAATTGCATGTGAAAATTGCCCTTATCGCTGCCCTACCTCAAATAAATTATAATATTACAATATGTTTAGCATATTTTCCATTTTAATAGAATGCGAATTCTCCAAGTGTATATAACGAAAAGTTAAAAAAAACTTGACAAATTAATCATACGTATTCAGATAAACCTAGTATTTACCTGTAAAAAATATTGTTGTTCATCGTTATTCCAAGTGCCAGCATATGATATTGAATTATTTAAAATAAAACATATTTTATTTACAACTTTATCAATATAGATAATTGAAAACATTTACAATGTGTTTTCAATGAATTATATATGGTTACAAGATAATATAATATAACATATTTTATAGCTTATATAATATGTATAATTGTATTATATTATATTATATTATATTAATATGTATAAATATTTAGTTAAAAATAATTATTTATGCTTAAAATAATATACATTTTCAAAAGTATAATAATCATAGAGGTACATTTGACTAGAGAATGACATTTTTATAAAAGTACATGGTTTTTCAATTTTTGTTTCGTACGTGTATAAATAAGAGTCAAAGTTAAAATCATCTATTTCGATTTTATAATATTTATACATAAAGAACAACTCGTTTTYAAAAACGTCAACAAAACACAATCATATTACGATAAATCAACTTTTTAAAACTTATATACATCGTTTTAACATTGTGGGACGTGAGTGGTYTATTCTTTCGTTCGGAGAAAAATACGCAATAAATAATATAACAGGATATATTATTCCGATAGTATAATATGTAAACAGTAACTTGATGGGTTGCTGGAAAAGTGTTAATAGTTTATTTCAGCCGGACCAACGTTTCCCTGCAATCAGCTACACAGCGCGAAACAAGTATAATAATTAATATTATGTTTTATGACTTTAAGCGATTTTCGTTTATAAAACATTTAAACAAATCATTGAGTTGCAGTATCGACGTTTGGGAACTATGATCGTGCAAATTATTTTATGCAAAAATGATATGGAGACGATTCCAAAATGTATGCGCATTAAGACATAAGCCCTATGCCAACAGGTGTGCGTGTTACGGATATACGCTCGACAGTGTGTGTTATCGCGCATATGTGCGTGTTTGAGAGATTAATTGAGTACAGGCAGAGTAAGAAAGTTTAAGAGAGAGAGAGAGAGAGAGAGAGAGAAGAGATATTATAGGAAACCGTTTGTCATAGGAATCGATTCGATCGTATATATCGTATTATTGTATGAAGGGTACAGACATCTGTCACTAACGCCATAGGATTTTAAATAATACAATTAATCGTAACGTAATCTATATAATAACGTTATTGCATTTAATATGCATACGGTAGCGATCGATCGAGTGATGAGTACGGTTTAGCGGCTGATATGCGCATTCCGTTATAATATATTACGTATATCATACGATACATTTTAAGGGGTAATTATCATTACCCGTACATCCCCTTAGAAACACGGTTRCCACAAAAAGTTCAAAAGTACACGTGTCGGATTTTTGATATAAATCGTTTGAAAATTCAATGGTGGGAGAAATTGTTACGTGCTCATCGTGTATTATTATACATAATATATATATTATATATATATATATAATAATATAAATAATATTATGCTGTCATTGGGGTCGTTTTTTGTTTACCGTGACTCATGGACAATGTTTTGGGCATATATTTTATAATTTTGGTTTTATAAATGCATAACAATAAAGGTTGATAAATATGAGTGGGTGGGAGGATGAGGGTTACAATGTGGTATTACAAAGCATACGGCTGGGTCCCGGGTCGGGGTGGCTGTTTGAGTAAGCCTACGTAGCGGGCGGCGTGCCTGCACTTGGACACCACCTCCTCTTGGACGAGCGAGAACGACATGGCGATCAGAACCAGGCCGAACAGCAAGTAACCGCAGCACGCGACCAGCTGCAGCTGTCCGTTTTGCGTGTCGGTGCCCTGGAACGATTTTCCCGGTACCAGGTCGCCGAACCCAATCGTGGACAGCGTGACGAAGCAGAAGTACGCGCCGTCTATGAACGTCCAGCCCTCCCATGCGGCGAACACGGCCGCGCCCAGACAAATGTAACCGGTCAACACGAGCAGCACCAGGGCCACCGGTACGCCGGGTGGTGCGCCGTTGCGCCTCTTGTTTGGCCTCTTGCTGTTGGTCGCAGCCCCTGCGGCCGCAGCAGCAGCCGCCGCCGCCGCCGCCGCAGCTACCTCGCGATGATAATGTTCCGAGGCGGTGGCCGCGGCCGTGGTGTTTTGTCGCCGGCTTTTGTCCGCACCTCCACCACGCCGCCGCTGCTGTTGGCGGTTGCCGCTTAGGAGAGGCACTCGGCTGGGCGTCCCGTGTGCTCCACCGTACATTTGGCTGTGGAATACAAAACGATATTATAAAAACAAAGAATGTTAATGAGAAAACTTGTATTATTAGCTGAGCAATAATTTTTTTATCGATAAATATATAAGAAAAAGAAAATCCAACATTTCTATAAACTGCTCAAAAAAGATTAAGTATCTATTGGTCATTCGTTTTTGAACAATATATTATGAAAATCATATGATAGAAAAACATTTTTTTTTTTTGCAGGTGAATATCCCGTGGTAAAAATTTGAGCTTCAAACGTTTTGCATAAAAAATTATGTCACTCTCCACAATTTTTTTTTTACCTACTATAGAATATATAGGTGGATAAACTAAATGTTCAAAAATTGAAAGTATAAATTCAAAATTGTTTTTGATACAAAAAGAAATATTTTATACGTTTCTATAATAATTACATGATCACTATAGTAGATATTCACAATTTTGAAGAATTTTTTCACAACCCTCATTAAAAAATATTGTGTTTTTACACTCGTCTTTTTTTCTTTTTAACGATAAGAATAACAAATTATATGGAAGTTTGTRTTAAATATAGGTATATCAGGTACAACACGTATGATATGTATAATATTTTATTATTATGATATAGTCGATCATTTGAATATTTGTTTATTACCTATTTAATATTTAATGTTTAATGTTTTTGATATCATTACTTTACGGGAGAATACAAATGTTACGTACGTTTTGAAAATTTTCTGGTGAATTTTGTCCATTTATGGACTGAATGGGAACTGCGCCACTATACGTAAATGATACGTCTATAGTCTATAGCACACATATTATAAACGCGTCAAAAACTATCAAAAGTGTCAAGCACTCATATTATACAGCCGGTCGCACACTCGAATAAATACAATTATTTATAGACACTATACAAATGTCATGTTATCGAAAGCCAGCCGCAATATTTCCAGACCGGAAAGGCGGAAAGCTGTCTTTTGAGAATGAAATAGCCRTCTTAATGTTGTATATAAAATTATATATTCTACGAGAAATGTCATTGATAAACACGATCTCCCGATATTTGATAGTGGTCTCAGTGGTGGTTGAGAGGTTGGTAGTTGGTTCAAAGTGACTACGGTGACTTGTAAAATCTAAGTATTTGAAAATAGTAGTCCTTAAGAATTTTTTTAAATTGCAATAATTKGAATTTAAAGAATATGRTATACATTATGTGAATAAATATATATAACGTGTGCGAGTATGGTGGGTGAATATAATAATGTATTATATCTTGAATATTTGAGATAAGTAGGTTTATATTTGTTTTTTAGGTAGCACGTAAGRTTATGGTACGGGTTTACAGATTGAGCATTTGATGAAAACCAGAATTTAAAATCTTTTTCTGAATGAAAATAGGACTTTATTTTACGAGATACCGTTTTTTCTTATGAAATTTTTGATTTAAAATATTTTTTAAGCTTTTTTTGAACCAACGTGTTATTTATTCATCGGGTTTTAGAATATATAGATAAAGATTTTATTATATACACAGAGTGATTCACTGATTCAATAAGTATTATTTAAAAAAATATATACTGAAAGAAAATATTTTTAATTATATACTTCGGATTTTCTACTGTTTATGGAATGACTTGTGGTTCAACATATTTTTTTTCCAAATGAGAACCCATTTTTCTTCTGTAAATTATGAAGCAGATGATTTTTTTTTCAAGCTTATCTAAATCTAAATTCATATGAATTATTTCTAATTTCTAATCAAAGAATAATAGCTAGTCAGTATTTAGTAATTTTTAATAATGGTATTACATAAAATATAAAATAAATGTAATATTTTGTCTAGTGGATACTTATAATTAAACATGGAAAATATTTATACATGCATCTAATAATATAAATAATTATATCCTTGTTTATTAATTTTTTATTGGGTAAATTTTAAGGCTTCAACTTCTAAGGTYAATAGCCTGTAATAATTACAAAATATCAGTCTTAAAACTATGGGTATATGCCAATTGTGCTAGAAATCACAGGTAAGAAAAAAAAAGTTGGGATTCAAAAAGGTAAAACATCAACTGCGCCGGCGATATTGAACTAGAGTACAAATAATCGTTATGATATTGATATCGATATTTTATAATAATATATATTTTAATATTTTACGATTTCTTATTCTATATATTTSATTAGTATTTTTACGGTTTTTGATATTGATTTATAATGTTAACGTATATACGTCTTATTAAAATTAATTAAAATAACACATGTATAAATATTTATATTTTCCTGGTGCAATAGAATTAATTAGTGGTAAATTTACTAGCGCGAAAGATGTATAGATTTCAGGTAGTCTAGAAAAATTGGTGCAATTGACGTACATCAAAATTACATATCCTTATTCTTTTTTATAGTAGGTATTTAAAGTTTTATTATTTATATTTATCGGGTGGTGCTGCTGAGTGCCTGCCCACATAATGTTAAATTCTGTTACTTTATATTATATTGACCTTCAAATTTGTTTATTGTACATAATGTTGTATAGATTGTAAATTACTTAAAGTAAAAAAAAAAAAAACTTATATTAGCTAAGTTTTTGAATTTTTTTCGTAACATAAATATTTTCAAAAAAATTATTCGTGTAACAATTTACTGAAAAAATGGCGGTTCTTATTAAAAAAAAAATAAAATAAAATTGTACCACCACAGGACACCCCTTAAGTGGTAAAATCTAAGTATTTGAATATTTGGTACTTACCACCTGCATTTTAAGGTTATATKTATTTATAATGTATATAGCCACGTTATTAGGCAAGTATAATTTTTCAACTGCAAATGGAATGCAATTGTAAAAAAAATTATTTCAAATAACTGAATACTAGGTTTATTGCTCATTTCATTTTTAACAAAAACGGAAACTAATAATACTATTTAGGTACTGTGCGGTGTACACTGTACACGTGATTGTACTATTATAATCTGCATAAATAAATAAATATCATACTAAATTCCTATTGTATAATTAGTATTCTGGTTACATATATTTTTCAGAATTTAATATTATATAGACTGCGGATATTAAATTACAATACCTACATCAACAGCTTATGTGAGTCAATATCCTACAGGACCTGCGATAAAGATATCTTATACTTATCGCCGTGGAATAATAATGTTATATTATCTAAACGAACGAATCGTCTCATAACTAATAAATACTACAATTTATACGTCATTATATCAGATAATGAACATATTGTAAATATTATTATTTTAATAWTTTCTAATATTTTATCCTGCGCACATGCGATAGTAGTTTATTGACAAATTTCAACCGATGGCCGATTTTCACATATTTAAAAATTATTAGTATAACGGYTTTTGTCCTCTCTTATATTATGTACCACTAAATATTTCAACCTGATGGGCCATAGATTGAAATACARTATGACGTTTTCTGTGATTTGGTAGGTAGATGATACCGAAATACACATTTTGGAGACTATTTTCACAATAGTCAATAAAATATCACTGAATATGGACGTCAACCGTTGAGGACGTGTTTTTGTTTGGAAAAATCGAAATAATCGAATTATTTTAAAATTTTGAATAGGTACTTGTAACTCAGTCAAATCTAGTTTTAAGACCAGAGTAGACAAGGTAGGTATAATGAAAATATAATACTAATAATGTGCATTTAATATATTATGTTTACACATAAAAATATCTCTTAGTACTTTTATAGAGGTTATTGGATCAGATCAACAACACCATATTATAAGATAAATTATTGTTATATTGAGTGATCTGATTGTTGTGGACGAGTAGGTATTCGGATTTGGCCGTTACTGTCCGTAGTCCGTTAGTCCGTTATTTATTTGTTAGTTCTCACTTTAAGAATATTCAACACAACAACTTGTTTTTAAGAAGTTATTTATTTATTTAATTTAAGTAAAACACCGTTATAAAATAAAATTATATAATACACTCGTCTTAACGGAATCGCTGGTCTTTCACGACTGTCTTATGAAAAACATACATCAACCGGCGATTGCGTCGAACAATGCATTCTGCTTACATAGCTAACTATTCTTAATACCTACTACAGCCAAGGGGTTCCCAACATGATAATAATATTTTATTTTACAAACGTTACCTATGTTTATGTCGAAGACGACTAATGAGAAAAAACTACTAAACAAATATGCTATATAATTTGTATAATAATATTATTTTATAACTGAATAATATATAATTGAATGATCAAACTCGACAAAATAGTGTCGATCGACCAAATGTATATTAATGATAATGTCATTATGTTTACGACGTCAAACTCTCTTACTTGCAGCGGCAGCGTGCAAGGCTGTTAAATGCATAATAAAACGGTGTAAAAATTTACGGTAATGAATTTTTAAACATAACGTTGCGTTGCGCCGTACATTTGCAGTAGTCAGATGACCGTATCGCGTTTAATGACGCGAAAAGCGATTGTCCGGATCGTGGAGTTTTATATAGATATAAATTTAAAGAAAAAATAGTGCTGCATGTAATTTCGTATTCGAGATAAAAAAAAAATATACGTTTAAAAATATATACCTATAGGTATAAAATAAAAAAAATTCTTAGTCGGATTGATTTTAATAGCACAAACAAATTTAGGACAAACCCCACTTTTACAAAAATACAAAAAATATAAATATCACCTGCACCGTGGTCGTCTTGTGTTTGACAATTCGCGAAAATTGTTTTAATTGTGAAGGTTCAAGAAAACAGTTCGTTCATTATCTTATTGTATATATTATTATCTTTGTACTGCACTAAGCAGACATATTTCGGGTGTCCTTTTATACATGGACAGACCTAATAGGCTTATTAGTTATTTTTGTAGTCGACGGTGGTGGTTCCGCCCCAAATGAATTGTTTGCGGAATCGTGTTTCGTCTCTGTAGTAATGACTCAAACAYATGTATTTCGGTGATCGTTTGTATTCATTATAGTTGTGACTTGCAAGCATTACCCTCA